AGGAGGAGGAGGAGGAGGAGGAGGAGGAGGAGGAGGAGATTGGATTTATACCCTGCCCTTCACTACCCAAAGGTGTCTCAGAGCGGCTTACAAACTCCTTTCCCTTCCCCTCCCCACAACAGACACCCTGTGAGGCAGGAGAGGCTGAGAGAGCTCTGAGAGAACTGCTCGTGAGAGAACAACTCTTATCAGAACTACAGCTTGCCCAAGGTCCTCCAGCCAGGTGCAAGTGGAGGAGCGAGGAATCAAACCCGGTTCTCCCAAATTAGAGTCTGCACACTTAACCGCTACACCACTGCTGGCACCCCAGGGCCCAATTCACAGTGTGTGCAGAAGAGGGGACAAGCCATTTTCCCAACCAGAACCAGCCCTTGGAGGCTCATATTTGATCTGTGGCGGGCAGGGCCGTAGCTAAAGAAGAAGAAGAAGAAGAAGAAGAAGAAGAAGAAGAAGAAGAAGAAGAAGAAGAGATCGGATTTATTCCCCGCCCTTCACTCGGAGTCTCAGAGCGGCTTACAAACTCCTCTACCCTCCCTTCCCCACAACAGACGCCCTGTGAGGTGGGTGGGGTTGAGAGAGCTCTGACACAAACTGCTCTTTTCCAAGGACAGCTGTGCCAGAGCTTGTGACTGACCCAAGGTCACATCAGCAGGTGCAAGTGGAGGAGTGGGGAATCAAACCCGGTTCTCCCAGATTAGAGTCCACACACTTAACCACTACACCAAACTGGCTCTCCTTCCTAGTGGCCCCCTTCCTAGTGGGGGGGCCTTGGGGAAAGTAAGGGGGCTGGAGTGTGTGTGTGTGCGCGCGTGTGCGCGCTGCGCACACGTCACCCAGAAGTGATGTGATGCCCTCCCCCCTTCTCTCTCTCTCCAAGCTTCCCCCCCATGCCAGAAGACGCAAAACGAGGCCCCCACCCCCGGGACACCACACCAGGGGGAGGGAGGAGGTCTCTCCCCCCCCCACCCCAGGATCCCTCGCAAGGTGGCCGAGGATGATGCCGGCCCCCGTGCAAAGCAACACCACATCCGATCCGACTCGTCTTGCTCGGGAAGTGTTATGTCTGGGCACGAGCAATCTTTAACAGGGAGCACCCCCGAGACTGCACGCGGCGCCCCCGGCCGCTGTTGCGCTCGATCTACCGTGGCGGGAGCCCGGCGCGTGTCAGTGCCCCTTCCCCGCCCAAGGGCGAAACGGAGGCGCACCCCCTCCTGCAGCCAGATCTCCCCCCAGCTCCATCTCTGCGCCGCAGCCGGCCCGTCCGGCGATGCACCAAGAGCGGGCGGGACGCAGCGCAGCCCCCCTGCAAAAACAACAACACTCCCCAACCCCTGCTGCTGCCGCCGCCACCACCCCGGCAAGGGCTGTCTCCGCAGGGCCCGGCATGCCTACCTGGAGCTGCTGCTGGAATTCCTGGTCCAGCTTCCGCCAGTCGTCTCCCGACACTTCTCCAAGGGTGGCCCCATCCTGCCCACCGGCTCAGCGCGAGCCCCCAGCCGGTCCCAGGCCCACGTGTGCGCCCGGCGTCATCAGCCCCCCCAAAAAAGGGATTTGGAGGACCGGAGCCAGCGAGCGAGCGACCCTCCAAGTGGGAGGCTCAGAGGAGGCGCCCTGGGCCAGAGCGGAATGTCCCCAAACGGCTGCAAAAGGGCCCCGGCCCGGCTGTCTCGCCCAGCCCGCCACCAGCCCCAGATCCGGCCGATCCGGCCCTACCTTCCGTGGTGCCCACGCCGGGCCGTAGCGCACCCAAGAGGAGCCCCACGCAGAGCCAGTGGGGGCCGGGAAAGGGCCCCATTGTGCTCTCATTGTCAATCCCGGCCAGCTCATGGCTCAGCTCCCCTGGGGAGAGGAAGAAAGGGGGTGAGGAGCTCTCTCGCCCGACGGCCTTTCCCAGCACCCCCGGCCGCCTGCGCCGTCCTCCGTTTGCGCCGCAGCCCAACTTCCCAAGCCCTTTTCCAGCGACTTCATAAAAGGGCACCACCTCGCCTCGCCACTCGCACCGGCTGTCGAGAACGCGCCGAGCGCCCCCCGAGGATCCCAGCTCCCTCGGGAGTGGCGAGAACCAGTTCTGCAGAGCTTCGGTCGTGGGAAAACCGCGAGATGGAACTTTCTTTACTAAGTTTCCCTGCACGTTCTCGCCTCTGCTGCAATTGCGCTCGGGCAATCCGAGTTGGGGAGATGGGGGGAGGGGGCCCGCAAAATCCGCGGGGAGGCCCGGCCCCCAGGGCCCCACGCAGGCTACGGGCCTGGTTGTGGGCTACGTGGGTACTGATGAGTGACAGATATAAGTTTCCACAGTGGGGAAAGCAGTGGCTCCCCAAGGCCATTTTGGTGTGTGAAAATGATACAGAGGAGGTGTCGCCCCTGCTCCCCACACACCACGTGTGGCAGAAGGACTTGGTGGGGCCATGTGGAGCAGACCCTGTGGGGACTCTGGCTAGATAATCTCCTCAGCACATGGAGTGGGAGACCCTACCAGGGGCTAACAAGACCGGATATCCCTGATTAGCGTGTCTAGCCTGACATGCACATGATAGGGCAAGAATGGATAATAGCATGGGGTATGACCCTAGGACTGGGCCCAAGGGAACTTGGGAGTGAGACTCACAAGGAGGGGACAGCTACTGGGACAGTCACTAAACACCGTTTTGGGGATGGCTGGCAGAGGAAGCAGGAATTGCTGTAGCAAAGGCCGGGTGGAGATAACTGCAGCCCTGATTGCTAAGGCGCCAGTCGAACCGTGAGCCCAGGTTGTGTGCTGTTTTCTTCAGGATGGAGTCACAGCCCCTGCTTCACATACTGCAACCATCCACCCTACTGGTGAGCCGAGAGGCGCCAAGCCCCAGGACACCACGGTAGCAATCAAAATGGGGCCTCAGCACATATGGGAGTTAAGTGCTAAGCACAGAACTCCCAAAGCATGTCTAGCCAACAGGACTTAGGATGGAGATGAGCTCTTTGTAATGGCATGAGTTTTAGGCTTGTATGTGGTGCAGGGAGGAAAGTCTGCCGTATTGCAGCTGAGGTCAATTTTTTAAAAGAGGTATCTGTGGTATAAATGTATTTATCTGCGTTTCTTCTTGCCTGCCTTTTCTTACTTCTCTTGAGTTATGTCTATTTACCAGTAAAATAATTTATATTTAGCTTCCGAGCAATATACTCCACACTATTCATGGCACAATATTATCATTCAACATATTTATATAAAACTACATGTACAGTATCATAACTTTGTTTAAATATTATTATAGTTTTCTACAGGGCAATTATATACATTTCAGATGGCTGAACCTCCTGTTTGGTAAAAAGACCCGTGGATGCAACATATGCTTGACAATTAGTCTTCAACTGTGGGTGCCTTGTCCCAAATAAAATCCCAAATCGTCATTTATTGCTTTGTCTTGGTGACATTGCAGACCAGATCCCATTCACTGTCCTGTGTCCACTTAGAGATGCTCCTTAGACATCTCAGCTATCACAGCTCATCATCATCTGAAAGGGCATCGTGATAGTCTGTATCGACATACAAGAGGAATCCTGAAAACAAACTATCTGCCCATGTGGGATCAGCAAACAGGCCATTTTGATCAGTGTAGAAAATCTCAAGCCATACCTCATCCTCTGCCTGAAGGTACATCACCGTTGACCCAGAAGCTACGTCGTGGTTTCCTGTGTTAGCATCAAACGTCTTTATCCGGAACTTCCCGTTATGAACCAAGCCAATTGCAAGATGCTTATTGGCCAAAGTGATGTCATAAGAGAAGTAATAGATCCCTGGGATAGCACATATAAACTTCCCGGTTGAAGGGTTGTAATGGCCCCCTTCATTGAAGAGAACTTTATTGAAGATAATTGGTAATCGCTCCTCTGGGTAGCTCGTGGTGATCCCAACAGAAAAGGCAGATTTCAGGACTATTTTCCCACACTTACACACTCCTGGTGCACCAGGTTCTCCTTGTTCTCCTTTATCTCCTTTTGGGCCTGCTGGACCCACAGAACCCACATCGCCTTTAGCACCCCCCATTCCTGGAGGTCCTTTTTTACCAGACTCCCCTTGGTCTCCTTTCTCTCCAGGTGCTCCTACTGGACCCGTCTTTCCTCTTAAACCTTTAAAAAAAGAAAGTAGGTTATCATTGCTGTCTACAGCAAGTGATTTTCTTCCAATCAAAGGGTAAGATTGGTTAGAACTTGGACGAGGGTCTTTTGATTTGTGACTCTATACAATTGGCAGCCTTCTGAGAGCTGACCTTTGTAGGCCAAGTACAGACAATACAAAGATTGTTCTTAAATTTGTTTTTAAAGTCTGTCCTGATTTTATATAATCTAGCAGCAAAATATAGTTCCAGGCCCCATGGGGTGCCCTACGTGGACTTTGTAGATTACAAAACGGCTTTTGATAGGGTCGCCTGGGATAGATTATGGGCTAAATTAGAGGCATCCTCAGTAGATCACAGACTACTTGATCTTATTCCTGTCTTGCATGAAAATAACATCTTGACTGTAAGATGTAGCCAACAGGGCCGCCTATCTTGCAGGGTCCCTGTCAAGAGGAGAGTGAAGCAAGGCTGTATTTTGGCCCCTCTGCTATTTAATTTTTATATCAATTCAATACCAAAGTCTATCAAATCCAGATTTTCACCTGCCAGACTTAGCAAATGGACCAATACCTGCCTTATTATACACAGATGACATAGCCATTTTATCCTATTTAATAATAGGGCCTAGAAGAGCCCTTTGGGCTCTAAAAGCATCTGGCAAAGAGAGACAATTAATGATAAAGTTCCAAATGACCAAGATTCTAGTCTTCTCCAGAAGCTATGTTAGACATAGATACAAGTCAATGGACACGACATAGAACCGGTGAAGATCTTAAAATAACTAGGCGTAGTGTTTCAATCAACAGGTTCGTGGAGGGCTCAGATGACCCAGGTTACCAAGAGTGCCTGAGGACTGGCATTAGCTCTTCTGAGATTTTTCTACTTGAAATGGGGCTCACATATCACCTATGTAATTAAAGCTTTCCAAGGTAAAGTGACACCTCATCTCCTGTATGGTTCACAAATCTGTAGGTACAAAGACTTCCATCCCTTGGAAGCAGTTCAGTCTAAATTCCTTAGATGTATATTTGGTGTTTCTTGATGAGCACCAAAAACAATTCTTGGGATAGAATAGGGGCAGATGTCACTTGACGCTCGTAGTTGATATCAAGCTTTATGTTCCTGGCTCAAGAGAAGTCTTAACGCATCTGGATTAACCTCCTTAATTCTTGCGGACAGCCACCACTCAGGCTGGGTGGATGTGGCTGAGAATAAGATACAACTGCTCGGCTTTCCCCCCTTAGCAATATGCCATCTCGGGTTCTCGGGAACTAAAGAAGAACTCAAACAACGATTCTGGGATACAGTTCTCCAAGCCGATAGATCTCGGGCACATCTCTTTCTGGTGGCAGGGAATCGTAGCCAAAACTTTGTGCAGGTGAATTCTCTTTACGCTTTAGAATTCCCCAAAGACCACAGAGCTTTTGCCCTAGTCCATTTTAACTGCCCGCCCTCAGCGCTACGGGGATACACTTACATACTCCCTACTCTTAACATCTGTGTTCCTGCCAACTGAATGCAGTCAAAACAGTGGAACATGTGTTATTATTTTGTCCATTTTATAAGGACATCTGTTCCACTTATCTCACCCCTATTCTATTCCAGTGTCCAGAAAAATCTGGAAAATTCTACCTGTATCTCCTCCTTGTAGACCACTCCAGTGAGACCATCTCTAAAGTGGCCAAATTCTGTGCCCAGACTCTGTCCATAAGAAAGCAGATATTCCAGACTTTTAAATCACTTTTATGTATAATTAATTACAGCACAATAAGGTTGTGAATTTTAATCCTCATATTTTTAATCGGGCTCTCCACACCCCCTTCCGCTCCTGAAGCCGTGGTGAGGGTTGTCCGGGCCTCCGCCGAAGTAGTGACAGGAACAGGGGCTGTAGTGGTCGGCACCTGCTCCGTTGTAGTCATGGGCACAACTGGCTCCTCCTCTCCGCTCATCTTTGTCAGGGGCGGGTAGAGGTCGGTAAAGGGATTCCTGGCCAAACTGTTCATGCACCACATTGTGAAACTGCACTCTTTACCCGCAAAGATAATTTCAGACAGGGGAGTGCAATTCGTGGCCAAATTCTGGAAAGGCCTCATGGACTTGTTAGGGGTGGAGCAGGGCCTCAGTAGTGCTTTTCACCCAGAGACTGGCGGGCAAACAGAAAGGGTGACCCAAATCCTGGAACAATTTTTGTGGTGCTTCACTAACTATAGGCAGGATGATTGGGTGGACTTGCTCCCTTATGCAGAGTATTGCTACAATAACACTGTGCATTCCTCAACAGGACTCTCCCCTTTTAAAGCTGTGTTTGGGTATGAGGGGGGTCCTTTGCCTCTCCTCAAGGAGGCCAGTGGGGAGCCTGGGGGCGAGGTGCAGACCTGGTGGAAGACCCTTCAGGACACCTGGCCTGTCATCCAAAAGACTTTGGACCGGGCTAAAGCTGCTTACAAGACCCAGGCCGACAGAAAGCAATCGTTAGGTTGGAGGGTTGCCAAGTCCGTTTCTCTTTGCAGCGGGGGGCCCCCGGACGGCGTCCCGAGCACGCGCGCGCCACATGCATGTCAGCCGGATGTGACGTGATGACGCCGGGCACACTGGGGGAGGGGCCACAGCCATCTGAGGGGAAACCTCTATGTTTTCCCCTAAGATGGCTGTGGCCCCGGCGGCGGAAATCGGGCCTCCAAAGCGGGGGATAATCTGCCCCCCGGGGGGACTTGGCAGCCCTATTAGGTTGGGACTTGAACCCGGGGGACACTGTCTATGTGTCAACAAAGAACATGTGGGGGTTACAGCCTAGCCAGAGGTTGGGGTGGAAATATGTGGGCCCGCTCAGGATATTACACAAGCTGAATAATGTCACTCTTGAACTTGACCTGCCTAAAAATCTGAGACATTTACATCCCATTTTCCACCATAGCCTTTTAAAGAGAGATCCAGGGCCAAACGTGTGGAGATCGCAACGGGGCCCCCTCCTGTGATGGTGGATGGAGACCAGCATTTCGAAGTAGCCCAGATCCTGGACTCTAAGCTAAAACGGGGGAAAGTGTTTTATCTGGTGGAATGGGTGGACTTCGGGCCGGCTCACAGGGGTGGTAACTAAGGAAACAAATGTAAGAAACTACTTGGCAAGTAGTTTTATGAATGAAAGAATGTCGGAGAATCCAAAATAATTCTGCAGACCCTGTCAGAAAACATGTACTGCTTGTAATCAGTGTTCCCTTTAAGCTGAGTGTGAGCTAGCTCACAGGTTTTTTTAGCCTCCGGCTCACATATTCTTGCCTTAGCTCAGGAAGGAGGGCTCCAGAGCAGACTAATTGATGCCGGAGCCAAATCGCTCGCTCACAACTTTCATGCCAGGAGCTCACAGAGTGGAATCTTTGCTCACAAGACTCCACACAGTTTGGAGGGAGCCTTGTTTGTAATCAGTGCCAAGATTAGCAGCCTCCAGGTGACACCTAGAGATTTCCTTCTGTTATAATTGACCTTTAGATGAGCAAGATCAGTTCCCTCGGGTGAAAATGACTGCTTTGGAGGCTGGACTGTCTCGCATGTTACCCTGCTCAGGGCAGAATGAACATGTGAAAGAACTGTGGAGATAATGAAATAGCGGGAGAGGAGCTGGCTACACGTTGGGAGTTAGATCATGTAAAGGTAAAGGTTCCCTTGCTCGAAAGCCAGTCGAGTCCGACTCTAGGGTTGCGGTGCTCATCTCCGTTTCAAAGCCGAAGAGCCAGCGCTGTCCGAAGACATTTCCGTGGTCATGTGGCCAGCGTGACTAAACACCAAGGCGCACGGAACGCTGTTACCTTCCCACCGAAGTGGTACCTATTTATCTACTTGCCATTTCTTGCTTTCAAACTGCTAGGTTGGCAGGAGCTGGAACTAGAGACGGGAGCTCACTCCATCATGCGGCACCCGGGGCTCGAACTGCTGAACTACTGACCTTCCACAGCCTGAAGTTCAGTGTCTTAACCACTTGAGCCACCGCAGCTCCATATAGGAGGTTCCTAATGAGTAATAATCCTGAGAGAGAGCATAGGATGGTGAATGCAGTGGAGGGACAGAGAAACATCTGAGGGTTCCTGGGCCCTCCCCCCAGTATTTTGGGATGGGAGCCAACCACAATATGCATTATAGGAATTTTGTCCTACAGGCTTGTAATTTTTTTTAAATGATTTCATGACTGACCAAGTTTTATGCGACAAAGTTGAACCAAGTCCATGGGGGGGGGGGGGGGGGGGGGGAAACCAAGAATTTTCTAACAAAATTAAGTACAATGAAATGAAATTGAGTGAAATATAGTTGAAAACATTTGTAGCATATGCTCAATGGGTGAGCATTCCAATCTGGATATTTGTCAAGGAAGCTGAATACTCAGATTTGATTAGTGAGTTGGATGGAACATTTCATTTCAGATGTACAGAGCAAAAAACTGAATTCCACTCTCGGGAATTGAGTACAGTTGTGCTTGTTTTCTTTCCCTGAGGAAGTGGGTTTGCTTTTTTTTGTTTGCTCTCAATTATTTTTAACACAAGAACTTGAAAGTGTTGGGGAGACATCTTGTTAAATAAAACAGAATATCAATCATACTCCGTCTATTAGCAAACAAACCACCCCGAATTTCTCTATATAAGAGATTCCAGTTTAGTATGAACTCCTTTCCTTCCAAGTACTTTTCCTGTCTCATTCTATATACTTTCTGTCTGCTCCTGCTGTCTGCTCAAATCTCTCTAGGGGGTGTTCTAATCAATGCTCCCTCTACGCTATGGAGTCTTGTGAACAAAAATTCTACTTTGTGAGCTACTGGCATTAAAGTTGTGAGTGGGCGATTTGGCTGCTGCATAAATTAGGTCATCCTGGAGCCATCTTACTGAGCGAAGACAAAAATGTGTGAGCAGGAGGCTAACAATATGTGAGCTAGCTCACACGAACTCAGCTTAGAGGGAACACTGGTTGTAAATAATAATCTGTAATGTATATTTTAATATTACACAGCACATTTTAAAGTGTCCAGAGTGCTTCATAGGCATTATTGTTGCATCATAATTACAATGACCCTTTAAGGAAGGCCGGTAGCATGCCAGTGTGGCCAGTGAGGTCTTGAGACGACATGGCTGGCCTCAGCCTGCCTATCAAAATTTGAGCCAGCCCTTTCCTCACCTGTAGCTCCATCTCTGAACTGCTACATGACGACAACTGCAAAACTCAGGTCCAGCTCTCTATAGGCCACAGATCAGAGAGGTGGAAGGTGTAATTTGGAAGCAGGTTTTGTGGCTTGCTTTTTTTTTTAAGGAAAAAATCTTCAGTACCTGGATTTCCTTTCTCACCCTTTTCTCCTTTCCGGCCATCTCTCCCATCCCGTCCTGGGATCCCAATACGGCCGTGGGGCCCGGGCACCCCACTGACTCCAATGGGACCCATGGGGCCTGGCAGTCCCGGGATGCTACAGATATATCTTGAAGAAAAATTTTCCCCTTTAACCTGGCTGTGAAGAGCTTGTCCACTTGTATAGAAAGCAAAGCTGGTGACATACAACAGCACAAACATCCTGGGCACTGCAAAACAACAAAAACAACAACAGAGATGAGCAAACAATGAATTCATTGTATTTCATTCAAGCTTTATGAATAGGATGCAATCCACATGAACAATATAGACAGGGCTTTTTCTTTTCAAAAAAGAGGTGCCGGAACTCTCAAGAGGGAAATGAAGTTTTCAGTCCTTATACTGAAAACTCATGAACTTTTAGACATTAGAGATAGAATTGTGTCAAAGAGGTTCCAGAACTCCGTTCCAGTGCGTTCCCCAGAAAAAAGGCCCTGCCATCATGCCAGATATGTGCATGTTGTTTAACCAAAGGTTTGTAAATTAGTTTTATGTTTTTATGTGGAGACGTGGTATGTCCTAGTGATAGCTTTAGACTTAGAGCATAATCATAATACTTACACAGCACAATATGATGCATGCTTACTCAGAAGTAATACCATTTGAGGCGAATGGGAATTATATCAAGATAGGTTTAAACAGGACGGTGCGGCAGCCTTTTGCCCTAGAGTAGAAATCTTTGGTAGTTCATTGTAATCATCTACTACTGTTAATTCAAGCCAGAGTGATGCTTCAGGGATCGATGCTCCAGAACCACACCTCTCTGATGTATTGTTTGGCTGAACTACAAACTGGACTTCCTTTCCTCCCAAAGTCATAGTCTGGCTGAAAACATGAAAGCAAGATTTTGCACAGACCAGAAGCTTGAAGCTGGCTTGCTTTGTAGTTGCTGCTGAGAAGACGTTTTTCATGTCCTTTACTCTTGCTGAAGCTCTCCCTGATTGCTGTGAACTGTGTGACCAAAAAACCCATTCTGTGATAAGTATCAAAACTCTGTTTGGATCAGTTCTCTTTGCAGTTTCTTGCAACCATTGTGGCTCAGTTCAGATATCATGAGTGACCTGGAGTCTGTTTGGAATGAGCATGAACCATAGAGTTGAGAACCTCCAGGAAACACCTGGAGATCTCCTGCTATTACAACTGATCTCCAGACTGCAGATATCAGATCTCCTGGAGAAAATGGCTGCTTTGGAGGGTGGACTCTCTGGCGTTATAGCCTGCTGAGGTCCCTCCCCTCTCCAAACCCCGCCCTCCCCAGGCTCCACCCCCAAAATCTCCAGGTGTTTCCCAACCCAGAGCTGGCAACCCTAATGAGCCTGGCTAACAGACAGGCCTGTGTGCTTTCTCCCCACTCTTCCCTTCCGTCCCATGGGGAGCAGAGATGGAAGATGTGGATCTTCTGCTAATTCCAAGCAGTCACAATGTCAGATTGCCGGCACTTTAACTAATGGAGGTTAATTTCTTTCCTGGTTCCTGGGATTTTAAACCAGAATTAAATTATGGTTACGAATCTCAGTTCCCTGGAAATAAATGACCATTTTTACTCAGAAAGAAAAAGCTCCGGTATAGATTGATCACAGTATAAGATCTTGCCAACCTCCAGGTGGCATATATCAAAATGAGAGCTCGCAGGAGGAGATTGTAGCAATATTGAGACACGCCGTGAATGAATTACGAACAAAAGCAGAAAGATTATATTGTACAAAACAATTCAAACAGTTTTAAAGCATTGTTAAAGTTCAACAAACCCTTATATATTCTTAAAGAGCTAGGATCAAAAAGTACTTTATACAAAGGGAAAACTCTAAATGAAGTCCACAAATCCTTTGTATAAAAAGCTTCAGGAGAACAAAGATTCTATGTCTTGCAGGAGTCGCAGCTATACACGGCTGGCTTCACTGCCGCGTTCATGTTCTACTTCTTCAGATAGCTGGTACTCTTTAACTGTGAAATGAAATAAAGTTTCAACAATTCTCCTTCAACGAGTTTTCCAATCGCTTCACTGACATGTTCTCTTTCTGCTGATTAGGCTTCTACCACTATTGTTAGAAGCTTTAAAACTGTTTGAATTGTTTTGTACAATATAATCTTTCTACTTTTGTTCATAATTCGTTCACGGAGTGTCTTTATATTGATACAACCTCCAGGTGGCAGCTGGTGATCTCCCACTATTACAATTGATCTCCAAATGATCAAGACCAGTTCCCCTGGAGCAAATGGCTGCTTCGGAGGGTGGCGTCTATGGAATTATACCCTGCTGAGGTCCCTCCCCTCCACAAACCCTGCGTTCCCCAGGCTCCACCCCCCAAATCTCCAGGTTTTCCCCAACCCAGAGCCGGAAACCCTAAAAATATAGCCAGCACATGTTAATAAAGACCAATTTATGCACAGTTGCAGAAGACGTACCTAATAACATCGGCTGCGAAGTACCTTGGGGATCAGATTTGGAGCCCACGCCTTGCAAGCTAGTAGTCCTGGGTTCAGTCTCTGGCATCTCCAGTTAAAGGATTTCCAGTGGCAGACGTGGAGAAGACTTTTCTCTGCTCGAGAGGTCCTGAGAGTCAGAGCAGAGAACTATTAGCAAGATAGTCCACTGGACTGACCTGACATAAATCAGCTTAATGTGTTACATATCCCTAAAGCCTAAAATCAAACACTGGAAAGCAGTATTTTACACAGGCAATGTTCCCTTGTGCAATTGTTGTTGTTTTGTTTAAAAAAAAGGGGGCCCAAGAAAAGAAAGGTCCACACCCAAAACACCACACAGGTGTAACTTTACCCATTCAAATGAACATGATGTATGCCAGGAGAATACTTTCACAAACCATTCCTGTACACACCTCATGATTAAAAATGCCGTGAGGAAAGGGTGGCAGAAACGTCTAAAGCTCTTTTTCCCCACAACACAGGGAACAGGCATGCTTGAAAACCAGTTGGGATGGGGCAGAAGTGGCCCAGGCAACGTGGCAGGCATTTGCTTCCCAGAAAAAGCTCAGGAAAGGGGTGGAGAAGCTCTAGAGTTGTCATGTCCTCCCTGGCCACCAGTATGTGTTTGTGGGGTGCAGAGGTAGAATTGCCAGTTACAGGTTGGGATGGTCTTGGAGATTGGGGAGTGGATCAAGAACCAGAAAGGTTAGTTACAAGCAAATTATAGGTCCAATTACTAAAATCAATATGTATAACCTAAATATTAACAAAAATACATGTATTTATCATTTTATTTATTGTCTTTACTGTTTTTGCAACCAGAGTCATAAACAGCAAACCCTCATTCCACAATAAACCTCGTTCCACAATAAATTATGGAAGAATTTTAAGGCTGCTACTGCAAAAGTTGTCATGTGATTTGACAACAGCTGCTAGAAATTTTGCCACATGCGGAATACTTTGTCTGTCTTTGTCTAATAAGTAACCGGGATGATTTTGCTTCTGGAGAGAGGAAGTCTTAGAACTGAAAATTTGGGACAATCAAGCAACATATGATCCACAGACTCAATTTTATTGCTGCCGCAAATACAGAGTTGATCTGGTATGGAATCCTATTAAATCTTCTTGACATCACAGTTGAAAGTAGGGCATTCAGGCGCACTAGCATGAATGCCCTTCTATACTTTGGGGGAATTATCTCAGATAAGTAGTTTGGCATTGTAGTTGGAGGCTGGATGCCTACTGAAAAGGCTGAGCACACTCTGTGGGCTCTAATTGATGTGCTCTTGTAGTCAAAGTCTCACAAACATCTTCTGATGAGTTGTGACAGTTCTTGTCTACTTGTGACTTCTGTCACATCATGGGTGATACCCAGACATAATAATTTACGGTCCAGTAATCTGTCCCAATCATCAAATGGTTAAAAACATTTATAGGCCCAATTGTAGCCTTGTTACAAAATAAAAGTATGCAACGTACACAAGTAGGAACTATTGCGTTTTGGCCCTAACAGGCCTTCTTTAGTGGTCAAGCAATATTTGCATTTACAGGCTCATGATACAATAGTAAGACAATTGCCAAGTTATTGTTGGACCAAAAAAGAAGTTTGATAGTAACCACCAATTGACCCAGGGCACAGGAATGTTCATGAGGCCTCCTGGAGCCTAGCCTTGTGTCACAGTCAGATGCATATCTGCTAAATGATGTTGCCATTGTATGCCTTCCAATTTTGGTCCAGAAGATACAGGTGCAAACAACTGATCAGAGCCAATGTACCATAAATGGGAGTGGAGCCTGGGGAGGCCAGTGGGGTACAATGCCAGGGAGCCCACCCTCCAAAGCAACTGCTTTCTCTCTGCAGTCTGAAAATGAGCTGTAATTCCAGGGCATCCCCAGGTCCCACCTGGAGGCTGGCATCCCTACAATGACCCAGGTTGTGTGTATGGCTAGGGTTGCCAGGTCTGGGTTGGAAAATACCTGGAGACTTTGGGGGTGGGTCCGGGAACGGGTGGGGTTTGGGGAGGGGCCTCAGGGTGTACAATGCCATAGAGTCTACTCTTCAACGCAGCCATTTTCTCCAGGGGTTAATGTATCAAAAACAAGACAGGCTTCAGTGTGAACACAATGGGAAAAACAAAATAAGCTCACCGAAGAAAACCCCTGTTCTATGACTTTAACACACTTGGTTGTGCTTTTTATAATGTATAATGCAAATTTCTTATATTACTCAATTATCATCATTATGTAACGTACATGCCATCAACATAGACAAAGCTAGTAGGTAATGGTGTGAGTACAATACAAAAGCTTGATGTAAGTTTTCTTGACACTGTTTAGGCTATGTTCCTGGAATGTGTCTCTTCAAGGCATCTTGATAGAAGTCACTATGGATGGGTGTAGTGTTGCAGCTTGGCAAGACACTGGCTCTCTGTTGACCACCATCCACCACTCTCTTGTGGATCCTAAGTATCTCATCCCGTGTGAAGAAAGATGGGTGCGGCGCCTGCAGGATGCCAAAGGTATCCCGGTGACCAGGATACCTATTCAATATGAGGGGTGGAGCAGACAGTGGAAGGTTGCAGTATATGAACACACCCCTGTGGCTATACTGAGTAGAGAGCCAGTTTGGTGTAGTGGTTAAGTGTGCGGACTCTAATCTGGGAGAACCGGGTTTGATTCCCCACTCTTCCACTTGCACCTACTGGATGACCTCGGGCAATCCATAGTTCTGTCAGAGCTGTCCTTGAAAAAGAGCAGTTTCTGTCAAGAGCTCTCTCAGCCCCGCCTACCTCACAGGGTGACTGTTGTGGGGAGGGAAAGGGAAAGGAGCTTGTAAGCCGCTCTGAGACACCTTTGGGTAGTGAAGGGCGGGGTATAAATCCAATCTCTTCTTCTTCTTCTTCTTCTTCCTTCTTCTTCTTCTTCTATGTTTGTAGGGGAGGATCTGGCAGAACACATACTTCAACAGCAGGAAGGACAGAGTGGAGGTGATGGTCATCGTTGCAAGGAAGGAGAGGCAGGCAGGCTGTTGAGGGCAGCAGCTGAGTCGGAACACTCCCCCAAAATGGCAGGCAAAGACAAGAAGAGAAGATCTTCCCAGAGCCAGAATCCTAAGAAACCAGAACAGTTTAGGAAACTATTTGTTGGTGGCCTAAGCTCTGAAACTACCAATGCTGGTTTAAGGAAACACTTTGAAACATGGGGCACACTCAACGACTGTGTGGTAATTAGGAACCCAGACACAAAATGTTCCCGTGGGTTTGGTTTTGTAACCTATTCTTGGGGGGGGGGGGGGGGAGGCTGCCAGGGCAGCCAGACCACATAATGTGGATGGACCTAACTGTGAAGTGAAAAAAAGCTCTCTCCAAGCGAGACATGAAAGTTGCTACTGAGAAATCGTGGAAGCTTTGGTGGCAAAGACCAGGGTGGTGGAAGGGGCTCCCCAACCGCCAAACATATTAGAGCTTGTGATGTTTAGCCACCTTGCTGTGTATATTTTCTATCTCATTTGTGGTTCATTTGTTAATACTTATTACTGTGTTTCTATATGTTAATGTTGAGTGAGTTGAAAGGGCAAACCACAGACCAAATCTTGTGTGCAGACCACATTCTATATGCCCTCCCCAAGTGCCTCTCTGCCATGCCATTTTCTTTTGCAAATGGAAGGAAATCCAAAAGCAGATTGTGATATTATATGGGAGTGAGGTACCTACCAGTCAAAGGGAACAAGCAATACAATAAAATAAAATAAAATTCCACTTGGTGTGGCCATGGTGTTAAGCATGCCAAAACTAGCTTTTTGGATCCCAGCTGGAACATGGAGTTGTTGGGGAGGATATCTATAGCTATATATTCTCTGACTAAGGTTGATTGCTGGACATCTTAGTTCCACCCCAGAACACTGAGCAAACAGATGCCTTGCAGAAGCCTGCCAAAGCTGAGAGAGGTACTTGTGAGATGGTGCCACGGCTTAGTGGCAGAGCATTTGCTTTGCACACGGAAGGTCCCAGGTTCAACCCCTGACATCTTTCCCCCAAATCCTGGAGAGCTGCTGCCAGTCTGAGCAGACAATGCTGATCTCGATAGACCAAGAGTTTGCCTCGGTAGAAGGCAGCTTCATGTTGTTCAATATCAGCTGGCCTAGATTTTGTGCAGGATGGACTGCCCAGTTAGGAATATAGTCCAGCATTATTTCTATTGCTTTCCTGTGACAAAACTGGCGCTCTGAGAACTATGCTGCTGGTGCCAGCCCAAACACTGGAAATGCACACTCGTTTCTAGAGCCAACCCAGCCTGTCAAGGAGGACCCACTTGGAGGAGCTTTGAATAGTCTGCGCAGAGGCTTTTGGCATAACCAGCTACATAATCCACCCAAGATGGAGAACATCCATTAAGGAATAAAATACAGCTAAAAAGCACGCCAGCTGGCCTCCAATGCGCACGAGATTTTCCACAGCCGTGAATTTTGTCACAGACCTGGCCTTTGTAGTTGTTTAATGTGACTACATGCACACACACTGTTAAAGCGGAGACATATGGTTGCGTAGGGTTGCCAACATCCAGGTGGCAGATGGAGAGTTCCTGGGATTACAGCTGACTTCCAGGTGACAGAGGTCAGCTCCCCTTGGAGAAAATGGCCGCTTTGGAAGGTAGCGTCTGTGGCAGCAGTGTGCACCACTGAGGTCCTTCCCCTCCCCAGACTGGCCAGGCCTGTTCATGGAGTTCCCAACCTCCCATCTGGTCACAGCTGTGGCTTCATAGGGTTGCCAGCTTTAGGTTGGGAAATACCTGGAGATTTTGGGGGTGGCGACTGAGGAAGGTGGGGGGTTGGGGAGGGGAGGGACTTCGTTTGGGTATAATGCCATAGAGTCCGCCTTCCAGAGTAGCCATTTTCTCCAGGTGAACTGCTCTCTATCGAAGGTCAGTTCTAATCCTGGGGGGGATCTCCAGCCACCACCTGGAGGTTGGCAGCCCTATCTTTCAAAACGCTCCTCCCATTTTGCCTGTCACTTCCTGTGGGGGGGGGGTCCGCCTCCCTCAGTGAAGCACTTAACCGAAAATGAAGTCTCAGACAGTCAAGGGACAGAAAGGGTAACAAATCCGCCCTTGTTCCACACACCCGT